ATCGAAGTGGCCTCCATTCAACAAAAGAACACGTGGTGGTGGCAATTTTAATTCAGTCGGACACTCGACAGCACGAACACGGCTAAACTTTACCTTCTCTGAACTTCGACTGGAGTTGGACGCCGTTCGACCATTCGAACGGCACTTTAACATTGATATTTGCATGAACGATTGCCGTTCGTCTATTTGAACTGCATTTAACATTGGAAATAGACCGGCCGCACAGCCAAATTCTCCTGAACTGTTTTGGGCATGAAATTATGCGTGTAGTCGGTCAAAAGAGACTTCCACAAAACTCTTGAACCTCTGCTCTGATCTGGGTGATTTTTGAATATGTTGCTCACCCAGATCAGGGCTATACAGGGATGTAATATGTTGTGTTTTGGGGTGTTTTCTATACTTTAGGGAAAATGTGTGTTTTTCTGAATGTAGATAATTAGGTTATTGTATTAGCTATTTTAATTATATCCCAGGCAGAAGGGAGGGCTTGTGTGCTCTATGTGGGAGTGTCGGACATTGTTGTATTGTTTTGATTGGTTTATGTTCCTTGTGTGCCTGTGTACCATCAGGTCCAGGGGGTGTGCCTCTGGCCTGAAAAACTGTATAAATTGTGAGTGCTTGTTTACATTAAACAGACCTGCTTGACCCCTTCTTGTAAGACCTTGTTCCTGCTATGCTCTCTGGAGTAGGAGAGGTCTACCCACTGGAAGCTGAATCCTGGTCTTGGTTCCAGGGAGGGTGGAGGGCGGCGAGACCCTGGCACAGCTGCATCACTGGAAGTGGGAATCTTCAGTGTTTATGGTGTCTGGTGGAGTGCTTGGAGTCCGCGGCAAGCACTAGGAGCATCGATTGGCGGAGGTACTCGGTCGGAGTGCCAGCGGTGCGTCACATTGACCATTCAGGCAATGACCACATTCCAGATGTCAATGTAAATCTGTATCTTGCCTTGTATCTCATGAACGTTCTCTATACAGATGAACTGTTCTAGTTTAAGTATATAATTTACTGTTTTATGTAAAATTTTCTTGAATGTTACATTGTTATCCAAAGACTTTAATTTTTGTTATTTTATTTATTCATTTTGGGGAAAATGAGAGGTCTTGAGATATCTGTAGCTTTAAGAACAGCAATGTGTATGTTCTTGTGTGACAGTTATAAACCATTTTAAATAGTTGCTGAGGAGTCAGCTACTGAAGCGGATATATGCTTAAATTATGAGAGGAAGGGGAGAAAATGGATGCTTTTCCTGCACTTACTCCACTATCGCTTCCTTGTGTTTCTGTCTCTCTTCCACTCCACACAGAACACAAGCAGATGAAAAATATAAGTATATGGTAAGAACATGCAGAACCTAGATAGGATATGATAGGGAATTATTGCTGTGCACTGTTTTTTAGGGCGCTTTAACTCTTTGGCATAATTTGTTGCCACACCACACTATGGCCACATTTGATACTCCATGTTTCCTATTTTACAACATAGTTTAAAACTCTTTGTAATTCCCCCCAGGGTATGAGGCCTCCCATTGGTGGATGTTTGGAATAACTGAATTCATACACAAGTCCAAATAAAATGGGAATTCAGGAGTAGTTGCTTACTTTATATTGGTTGCTAATTGACTTTTGTAAATTTTTCTGTAGAGTATCATCACGGATTGGATTTCATTTAAGATTTGTTATTATTTTATGGAAACTGATTTAAAATTGATATTTAATGGTAAGCCACTTAGTTTTATATACTTTAAATAAAAGTTGTTTCATTTGTTAGCCACGCATTTGTTCGGGATATGTGCTCAAGGCTGAATAAAAGGTTGACTGAAATCCATGTTTCAGAGTCTCAGTGATACTTGAGACAGTTCCTGACACATGGTAATAACACAGCACTGAATGTTTTAATTGTAACCACACAGGAAACATAACATTAAATTATTTTGCAAGAATTCACCCAGTCATTAAAAATCTATACAGACTCTGATAACACCACCACTACAGGAAGAGAACACCATTAATATTGTACTTACTGTCAAGAAACATTTTCTTAGCCTTAAGACTAAATCTCTATTTTTCCAGCCTAAATGGGTGACCTTGTGTCCTATGTATAGTTCTATTTATGAATAGATTTCCAGGTTTGTATAGGCCCTGAATGTATTTGTATAATGTTATCATATCTCCTCTTTGTTTCTTCATAACTAAAACCTTCCATTCCGCTTTCTCATTTTGCAGTCATCACTGTACTTTTTCTAGTGCCATAAAATCTTTAGAACAGGTGTCAAAAATTGCACAGCATATTCAGTGTGTGGTCTTGCCATTGATTTATAAAGAGGTAAATTATATTTTCATCTGAGAATTAATGCCCCTTTTTATACATGACAATACCTTACTGGTCTTAGAAACTGCTGACTGAAATTGAATGTTGTTGCCTAGTTTTTTTGTCTATAACAATTCCAAAAACATCCTTGTGTATTGTTTGAGTGCCCAGTCCTTTAACCCCTTAAGGACACATGACATGTGTGACATGTCATGATTCCCTTGTATTCCAGAAGTGTGGTCCTTAAGGAGTTAATCTATCTATATTCTTCTGCAGCAATGTAATATTTTGTGCACATTGTATTACCTAACCACTGTTACATGACTTACAATGCCTTTGTAAGATCATTTTTAAATAGGTTAAATAGTAGTGGTCCCAGAGCAAACCCCTGAAGTGCATCACTTTTGGACAGCTTAAAGATTTACAATATTGGCCATTCTCTGTACTCTGACCATTCGATGTACTCTGCTTTCTACACAAGAACAAAAATTTTCATCCAGACTCACTTTCTTTTAATTTGAAAACTATCTTATGATATGTAATAGCATCTAATGCAATCGCAAAATAACATCTAATGGTAATAGCTAGACATGTGCACCAGTGAAATTTTCGTTTCGTACTAAATAAAAATTTAATTCGTCAATCTCGAATTTCAGCCGCAAACCATTTGTTTTCGAACAAAATTTGTTAAAAAATAATTTGTTTTCGTCCACAAGGTCAAAAAAACAGCACTGCGCATGGGCAAAAAAAAAAAGCAAACTCCCTCCTTATAATACATAAATAACTATTCCTACCCACCCTGCATTAAAACCTATGGTGTTCACTATGACCCCCATATTAATAAAAGGGAGGTTAAATCCTCCCGCATGCCCCTACTCGCGGTATGCCGCTGTCTTTTAAAACTAAATATAAATCAGTATGGAGGTCACTATGATATATAGGGGCATGTTGCCTAAACAAATTTAAAACTACTATAGCTGCCCAGTCACTAGTGCAATAAGGGGTCACCTGGCACAGGTTAAATCCTTCCGAATGCCCCTACCTGTGCCAGGTCCCCCGTGTAGTAGGGGCATGTCGCCTAAAGAGCGATCACACTCTCTGTCAGAGTTCCCCAAGGTTCTGTCCTTGGTCCCCTACTGTTCTCCATCTATACTGCCTCCCTTTGTAAACTCATCAGCTCCTTTGGCTTCCGTTATCATTTCTATGTGGATGACACGCCAATCTACCTGTCCTCTCGTGATCTCTCTCCGTCCATCTTGACTCATGTCTCTGACGGCCTCTCTGTAATTTCCAACTGGATGGCTGCTCACTTCCTTAAACTCAACATGTCCAAAACCAAACTTCTGGTCTTTCCTCAAGTTTTGCTACTCCCGTGTTTGCCTTCCTCCAAGTCAACGGCGCTACCATTACCTCTACCTCACAGGCTCGCTCCCTGTGTGGTCATTTTGACTCCAACCTCTCTTTCACCCCTCATGTCCAATCAATCACCAAATCCTGTCGCTTGCATCTCAAAAACATAGCATGCATCCGCCCCTGTTTAATGCCGGATGCGACTAAGGTGCTGGTCCATGCTGTAGTTCTCTCTTGCCTTGACTACTGCAATCCCCTTCTCAGTGGTCTTACGTATTCCCAGCTTGCACCGCTGCAATCTGTAATGAATGTGGCAGCGAGGCAAATTTCCTGTTCGCTCGCACCTTCCATGCCTCCCCGCTCTGTTAGTCTCTGCATTGGCTTCCAGTTAGATATAGGGCTCAAATTAAGATTCTGGTGCTTGCTTACAAGTCCCTACATAATGCTGCTCCAACCTACCTATCCTCCCTAATACACAAGTATAACACGTCGAGGCCCCTGCGCTCTGTCAAAGACCTACGTCTATCCTCTGTCCGTACTCCCACCACTGATGCTCGCCTCCAAGACTTCTCCAGGGCTGCACCTCTTCTGTGGAAATCCCTTCCCTTCTCTGTAAGACTTTCACCCAGTCTCCACTCATTCAACAAATCATTGAAAACTCACTTCTTCAAGAAAGCATATTATTATTATTATTATTATTATTATTATTATTATTATGATATTTATAGAGCGCCGTCAAATTCTGCAGTGCTTTACAATGGGTGGACGAACAGACATGTAGTTGTAACCAGACAAGTTGGACACACAGGAACAGAGGGGTTGAGGGCCCTGCTCAATGAGCTTACATGCTAGAGGGAGTGGGGTAAATGACACAAAAAGGTAAGGATAGTATTAGACTAGTGACAGTTGCAGAAGAGGAATCAGTCAGGAGCTATTAACAGTTTAATTGATACGCTTTTATGAAGTAGCGAGTTTTTAATGATTTTTTGAGTGGAGACCGGGTGAGCATCTAACGGAGGACCGGGTGAGTTCCACAGAAATGGTGCAGCCCTCGAGAAATCTTGAAGGTGAGCATCAGAGGTGGGAGTACAGACAGAAGATAGACGTAAGTCTTCGGCAGATCGTAAGGGTCTAGACGGGACATACTTGTGTATAAGGGAGGATAGATAGGTGGGAGCAGCATTATGTAGAGATTTGAAAACAAGAACCAAAATTTTAAATTGAGCTCTATATTTTATAGGAAGCCAGTGTAGGGACTGACAGAAGGGTGAGGCATGGGAGGTGCGGGCGGACAGGAAGATGAGCCTCGCCGCCGCATTCATTATGGACTGTAACGGCGCAAGTTGGGTGCACGTAAGACCACTGAGAAGTGGATTACAGTAGTCAAGGCGAGAAAGGACAGTGGAATGGACAAACACCTTAGTCGCATCTGGCGTTAAGTAGGGGTGGATGCGCGCAATGTTTTTGAGATGGAAATGACAGGATTTGGCGATAGATTGAACATGAGGCTTGAAGGAGAGGTCGGAGTCAAAGAGAACACCTAGGCAGCGAGCCTGCGTGGTGGAGCTGATGGTAGCACCGTTGACTTGGAGGGAGACAGACACAGGAGTAACAACACTTGAGGGAGGAATTTCAGTTTTGGTCAAGTTTAGTTTAAGGAAGTGGGCAGCCATCCAGTTAGAAACAGCAGAGAGGCTGTCAGAGACACTAGTCAAGAGGGACGGGGAGAGATCAGGAGAGGACAGGTAGATTTGCGTGTCATCTGCATAGAAATGATATTGGAAGCCAAAGGAGCTAATGAATTTACCAAGGGAGGCAGTATAGATGGAGAACAGTAGGGGACCAAGGCCGCAGGTCAAAAGCCGCAGATAGGTCAAGGAGAATTAGGATAGAGTAGTGACCACGAGATTTTGCAGCGAGTAGATCATTGGATACTTTGGTCACTGCCGTTTCCACAGAGTGCTTAGCGCGGAAACCAGACTGAAGCGGGTCTAGCATAGAGTTGGACTCGAGGACTCCCACCCCCCATGACTCTCCCACCCACCCACCCCCCACACCCCATGACTCCTCTCCTGCAACTGTCGAAAATTACCCACTAAGCCCTCAGTGAATACTTTTCTAACAACCTACTTTGTACCACTACTTTTACACTTTGTGTCACTATAACCCACTCCCTCTAGTATGTAAGCTCATTGAGCATGGCCCTCCATCCCCTCTGTTCCTGTACATCCAGTTGTCTGGTTACAAACATGTCTGTTAGTAGTCCACCCATTGTACAGCGTCCCCAAGCCCCTAGTCACTGCCCCCACAATAAAAATACCCTACCTACACTCCTCACCCTAATAATAGTGTGTGAGTGTGAGTGTGGGGCAATAAACTAATCCTGTAAAATAAAAAGTCATACTTACCATTTGATGTCTTCTATTTTCAAAAGAGGCCAAATATAAAAATCATAATACCTGTCGAACTTTGAAAATAAGATAAACGCGAGCACATAAAAATAATACGACGAGAAAAAAAAAATCCTGACAGTAAAAAAATAATCCATCTTCACCCATGGTGGGCACGGAGCAGAATGAGCTCCGCAGGGTGGAGAAAGGCTTATAAAGCCTTCCCACACCCTTCTATTATTAGGCTCAGAGCGCTCTGATTGGTTGATTTAAGCCAACCAATCGGAGTGCTCTGACAGGTAAATGAAGAGGCTGACAGGTAAGTCTCTACATTTGCCTGTCACAGCACTCTGATTGGTTGGCTTGAAATCCAACCATTTAGAGTGCTCTGTGTCAAAGTTCTTTGGAATTTTCCCATGCTGTGTAATTTGACTCATAACACTGTGATTAGTTGCTTTCAATTTGAAAATAGGCCTTTTATCAATATGGGGGTATTAGTGACCTCCATACTGATTTATACTTAGTGTTAAATGACAGCGAGCAGCCACTGGCTGCTCCCTGTTTAGGCGACATGCCCCTACTCGCGGCATACTGCGAGTAGGGGCATGCGGGAGGATTTAACCTCCCTTTTATTAATATGGGGGTCATAGTGTCTGCATAGGTTTTAATGCAGGGGTGGGGCAGGGGGTTGGAATTAATATTTATTACATGAAGGGTGCTGGTAGCGCTGTCGGCTCACTCCTTGTTTTTTGTTTTTTTCGCGCATACGCACTGTTATTTCTCCAAGCTGTGGGGTTATTTCCCTTGCAGCACGGAGTCTATTAAACGAATGAAACGAAACAAAAAGGTAATGCATTCGGCATTTGCCCTTTTGTTTAGTCTATATTTCGTTTGTAGGGCTTTCGTTTACGTTTTAGTAACTGAATATGAAAAAAATCGAATTTTTGGACGAAATCATATTTGCACAAAAACAAATGCACATGTCTAGTAACAGCATCTAATGCAAAGGCAAATCTAATCTAATGGCAAAATCCAAGAGTATCACATCCACTGCAAGACCCTGATCAATATTTATACCTACTTCTTCTTAGAATTTAATTAAGTTAATTTGACATGTTTCATAAAACCATGCTGGTTTCTGCTGAAGACGTAGCTCTCAGTGAATTCATAAAAAATATCCCTTAATTACCCTTCAAATACTTTCCAAGCCACAAAAGGTAAGCTCACATGTCTATTATTTCAAAGCAGATATTTTGAACCCTTTTTGAATATAGGAACCAAATCTGCCATCCTGCAATGCTCTGGTACAATTCCTGAAAGAAAAGAATCCTGAAAGAGTAAAAACAGAGGTTTGATTATTTCCACACTTGGCTCCTTTTTGTTTTTTTGTAAATCATATATTATTGAGATTTTATTTCAAGAGAAACTAAAGAATGAGGAGCACGCAAGCTCCAAAAATGTCTATCAGCGTTTCAACATTGTACACATATTTTTTGAGATCTGTTGTTAAACAATAGGAGTGTTTCATTTAAGGTATAAGTCATCGGCATATCCATGCAGATCATTTTGAAATTGAAATTGCCTCTGGTTGCTTACGCATTGGCTGTAAGTAGTGATGTACCGAACGGTTCGCCGGCGAACGGTTCCCGGCGAACATAGCATGTTCGCGTTCGCCACAGCGGGCGAACATATGCGCGGTTCGACCCGCCCCCTATTCGTCATCATTGAGTAAATTTTGACCCTGTACCTCACAGTCAGCAGACACATTCCAGCCAATTAGCAGCACAGCCTCCCTAGCAGACCCTCCCACCTACTGGACAGCATCCATTTTAGATTCATTCTCAGCTGCATGCTTAGTAAGAGGAGGGAAAGTGTAGCTGCTGTTCATAAGATAGGGAAAAGCATAGCTAGGTTAGGGATAAGGGTATGCTTTTTTTGGATTTTTTTTTCTATCTAATGTAAATGCACTTAGTTGTCTGCCACTGCTGCCAGCTTCTGTGTCAGGCTCACAGTGCCCATTTCCCCAGTCAGTACCACCAATTACATCTGGTGTCACAATAGCTTGGATTTAAAAACAAAAAACTTTTTTCACTGTTATAGATTGAATAGCAGTCAGT